TCCAATGACCTATTTATCTGCCCAAAATGCATGCTGTCATTTGTAAATATCATGTTAATTGTCTGGGGTGGGGCAGATGGGTTTTGTGTCATGTCTATGAAATACAGTGTAGAAAAGGCTTAGGTATCAGAATCTTTTTAGGTGACTGCATGTGTGCTCAGTGTATAGAGAACAGAAGAAAGCCCCAAAATGTAAATATTAAATATAAACTTAAATATTTCTTTAAATCAAAAGAAAGTTCTCATATTAAATGAAAAATAAAATATAATTTTTTTATACATTTTATAATATAAAAAATTAAAGGTGTATGCCGGATTAAAAACAAACACAAAGACTAATCCCTTCATTCATTTTCAATTACCCACCAGATATGTATACAATGATCCCTCTCCTATTGCAGTAGTTGCTTTCCAAGTAGCGTGACCACCTGTCCCGCTTTACAATGTATTGCACAGCAATTTCAGCCTTTGTCCCACGTCACGCAGATTGAACATTTTGTTCCACTTTTTTAATTCGACATTACTCAATTGCTGTTGCTGGTCGTGCATTTCACACTTAGGCCTTCAGTGATGTCCTACTTAGTCCGACAGCAATAAATACCTCTCATAATAACATAATTTAGGACACCACACGACCACGGCTGGAGAAATTGTATATGGGCTAATTTCTGACGCATTTAAAAATCAATAAATCAAGTAAGTAAATAAAATAAAATAAATAAAATGTTTGTACTCAACAAAACAGCTATCCTCCAAAACACTTATTTCAACACAAAATCCATTCTTATTTCTTTCCTCAAGAAGACCTTGATGACTCAGATGTACAGTTTATCTGTGCACTTCAGTTCCAACAATAAACCCCCTTCTCTCGACATGGAGGCCAATGTTGAAAGCCGCGTCTGTCCAGTCATGTTTCTTGCATATGTTTTAATTCGTTTTAAGGCCGAGAATGACAACAGAAGCAGTGGACACAGGGATTGTCACGGCCAAACAAGCCAGTGCATAAAGCTGTTCCATACTCTCACTCAGTTCTTTGTTCCTAAGAAAATCAAGGAGATCCGCTGGACTTTTTCCTTCAAAATCAGCCATAGCATACATTACAGTCAGTTCTGTTTTTAGTCGGGGCAGGTCGAACTGTGCGCCGTGACTTTGTGTTAAGCTGGAAAAGGCTGTTTGCGGGAACTTTCTCCGGTATGTCTGAAAGTGCTGGGGGTCAAGAAGGGAGAGAAACAATATTTTTTCGTGGTCTTGAAATCGATTCCGTATCTGTCCAGAGTGTTGTCCAGAGTGTTGCTGTAGAGTTGTTGATAGTGTGCGCGAAAGTCACCTTGCGCTGCTCCCTGGCCTCTGCAAGCGCTTGGAGCCCCTGAGATGCTCACCGTTTCTTCTTAAATCTGATTGAATTTGCCCATCGCACGCTCAACTGTGTCACAGAACTCTTTCCAAAGAACACATCCAAAGAACACATCAGCATGCTCAAAAAGCCCATTAAATGTGTTGAGTAAAAAACAAAACTTAAATTCATCCAGACTAAATAATAAGTCCTTCTTCTTGTTGTTTTACGGCGGTATGCGAGTATCCAATTTAGAGTGGTAGCACATTACTATAGACATGAAATCGCTATAAATACGTGCTTCTGACTCAATTTAGAGTGGTAGCACATTACTATAGACATGAAATCGCGATAAATACATGCTCCTTACTATGTTCAGAGTGGTAGCATATTATTTGAGGCTACACAGAAAATCCCTGTTAATATATCTGTTCTCTCAGGGTTTAGGGTAGCACTTTATTTAAATTCTTTACATTTACATTTATATCTGAAACCAGAGGGAATGTAAAAATGTTACCCAATGCAGCACATACTGTAAAAGAGAAAATAATCACACTCAATCTAGGATTTTTCAGCATTAATATTTTTATTAATATTACTATTTACAAATAGTAACAGAAAGGATCATGATATATAGTACAGAACATTTGGGTTTATTTTACATGAGTTTTTTTAGCTATTTTCCAGTAAGGTACAGGCTATGTGCATCCTTTGTTCACTGACAGCTTCTGGAGTTGTCTGCTCATCAGATATGTTTCCACTCAGAAGTGATTCTTTGGCGGACTGTAAATGAAATATGAATGTAATTATGTGCTTGATTTGGTGCATTATCTACATAATAACACATGTTCTTCTAGATACATAATCTCTACAATTAAATACTGTTAGCTTAATCTTCAAAGTACATAAACATAAACTTGTAGCGAAATAGTACCTTCGACACTAGAACCCCGCAACTGCTGAAATCTATCTGTGTTGTGGTCCATGGTGTTCACTGTCCACACATATTTGGATTCCTCCCTTGACCTGTTCCTCAGAAAGTTTCTATTACAGCATTAAAATTATTGTTTTAAAACAGTTTTTTCCTCTCTTGAAAAAATATATCTATGCAAATTATTCTCTATATTACCACCAGTTCCTCAGGATCTTCCAGTTGTAGGCCTCCTCATTTCCTATTGGGTCAATTACAGTGAGCAACTTCTCTGCCATGTTCACAACCTTAAGTAAAGTAATTTCATATTTCATCAATAAACAGGCTGCTTAATGGTTACTCTGCAGAGTCTTGCACAGCCTGCTTAATCTGTTCCGAGACTTCATTTTTAAATATGTCCACATAACAAAAGAGAAAATCTGTCAAAGTACTGAGTCATCAGAAATCAAATATTTTGGAAACAGACCACAAGAATCCAATGTGCAGTAACAGTCACAGGACACAGCCAAACACTCTCTGCTGGGAACTTCATCTGTAACAGATAATATAGAAATATGTACGTTTATAAAAATGAATTAGGACCCTACACCAAAATAAATGACTTACTTTCTTAATAGGTACATTACCTTATGGAGACTTTTAAACTGCCCATTAAAGAACAGGGAGCTTGCCACAACGGCACTGAGATAAAATATGGCTTCCTGATAAAATGATCAATATATTTGTTAGTACAAAAGTACATCCATAGACCATGTCAAGTAATTTCCATTCAAAAGTAACACCTTGTGGGTGATAGGGTGTGTCTCAGCCCACCTCCTCTGTTGAGTGGTGTTTTTTCCAGGTTGACAAAGGTTGTTGTCCTTGAAGGAGTGTCTCATTGAGGTGTATGTGAACAGCTGAGTCCTGTCCTGAGGAGTTGGACCCCCTGTGTTGCCTAACAGAACTCTTCAACCTTGACCATGACCTGGATGACTGAGATACTTCATAAGAGAAGTTTAAAATGTTTATGTGCATTGCTATATAACCTTCAGCCCTAATTCATCCAATGTAAAATATTTTAGAATGAAAGATCAACAGTGATCACCTAGCTTTTTTCTATTAAATTAAGTATTTCTCTCAGAAAAAAAGGCTGAAATAATTTCACACAAAATTCATAAAATGGTTAGGAAATTATGTCAAATTTGCCTTTTTCTCTGTTTTTTTGTGTAGTTCCAATGCACACAAAGGAAATAAACTGAATATATACCTACCAAAATGTGTAGCGATCAATAACTCAATGGATGAAATACTTATTTTCATGTGGCCCATACACTTCCATCCAAGTCTGTAGGCCAATATCAGAGACTTGTAAACGAGCTTATGCAATACTGTAAACTCTGTGCTAATTTAGTAAGGTACTGTTTTAAAACAGCTGCAAAATTACAGCACTATTAGACATTCGAATTGCATACACATAAGTTCGCAGGCTACGTGAGCAAGTTTTATAAATATGAAAATTATGCGAATTTAGTAAGGTACTGTTTTAAAACAGCTGGAAAATTCTGAGGCTACATGAGCAAGTTTTATGACTACATGAAAATGACGTTAATTCGCAGTATTAGCTATTCAAACTGCATTCAGACACAATCTCATGCACGTGGCAAGTTGAAATAATTTGACTGTCAAATCGATGCAATGCATACTGGTCATATAAAGTATTAAATATACAAGAAACTTACCTTGTTTAACGGTCGGGTAGCATAAAAAACCTCAGAACACCGGCATTGTCGATTTTGAAGGTCTCGGGCAGCCTGGCAACAACTAGCTGAATTCTGATTGGATAAAAACTCTAACCTAAAAACAACAACACTGGAAGGAGCCTAATATGACATGATGAGAATATGAAGTATGCTTTTATGTATTTAGGAAACGTAATTAAAAATTAAATGAACTTTTATCAACTTATGATAATGATTTATGTTAGGCCATCAGAGAAGGCCTATCTGGCCCTGACGGTCCACCACTGCTTGATTGACTGTTTTGTTTCGCTTAATGCGCCTTATAACCCGGTGCACCTTATGTAAGAAAATAGACCCATTCATTGATATTGTGCCTTATAATCTGGCCTTATGGCCCGAAAAATACAGTAAGTTTGAAGGATCATTAATTTACAAGCTAAGCCTCCAAAGATGTTTCTTTGTCTAGTGCATGTCACTATAAATACAGTTTTGTTGCAATTAAATTATGTCGTGGGATTTCATTTCATGGGGTTTGAATAAGTGTTTTATTTTTATATTTTTATTTTTGGTCTCATAAGGTAAATAACCTTTCTGCATTTATCCTGTGGTGAACCTCAGTGATTACCATCAAGCACAGAGGAGTTGTTCATGTTTGTTGAGAGCGGGGGAGTTTGGGTTTAACCCGGCAAAGGACTGCCCTCTGATGACTAGACTTGGCAGATACTGGTCAAGTATTAGCTGGCGCAAGATTCCAAAATAACTGAGTTTTTTACTTTCCTCACAGATAAAAAATGTAACTCTGTGGCTGTGTTGGTGCAAATATGTCCAACCAGAAAACTGTTTAGCTTTGCTGCTAACTGAATACAAAGTATTGGCTTCTTGGGTAGGAGTTTGTCTAACAACCTCACAACAATATAATTATTTAGCAATTCTATTACAGGAGGACCTCCTAACCTGTAGAATGATGTGAAGAATTTATTGTTTTATTTTTGTTTTGTTTGTTTTCTTTTTTGCTGCAGTGTGGCGCATCGTTGGAGCCTTTGATGGGTCCATTTTCCTGCTCATCCAGCTCATGCTGCTGGTGGAGTTTGCACACAGATGGAACACAAACTGGTAAGAAGAACACATTATCTGAAACCCTGCTTCAACACATGCTCAATAGATTAAGTCACTGCTGTGAGTTTTTACTTTTTACTGAGAGGTTTAAGGATAGGATGATTTTTTTTTCTGGGGCATTTTAAAGATTGGAAAAAGGGAGTCATGTGGCCTTGTGCTTTTATAGGTGGAGATTGGAGGCTTGACTGCAGTCTTTCCTTTCTCAGCAGATTCAAAGGATGCATATGAGTTAGTAGTCTTTGTTCAGTTTCCTCTGCTCTGATGATTTTTGTTTGTTTGTTTTTTGTAGTTCTGAACTACTTAAGGTTTTTCACCCTTTGAAAAAAGACTACAATTGTAACTATATCCAGGGGTGCTAGTACTGGCACAGGTGATTATAAATATTACACTTGGTCTTAATCCACTTTAACGTCAACATGGATGTGGTTCACTCTATTCATTTCACCTTCACTTTCATTTTGCATCAGTTAAAAAATACAAATATAATGCATTTCACCTGCTCTTTATGTTATGTTATGTCAACAGTAAAGGCATTGGAGGCCAAGTATTAGTCTTTGAATTATTTAAGTTAAAACAATGTTTTCTTTAATTAATTCTGTAATTATAACAAGTGATGAGACAGTAGAAAGTAAAAAACACCTCAAAATGTGGAGGTCATGACCACTGATATGTGTGTTCTTTTGGATTAATTTTCTGTAACAGCTGTAATTGACAAAAGAGGAACTTATTATTTGTGACTCCATAACTTTCATCACTCTTGTCCAACTCAGTGGTGGTTCACTGAGGTGAACACAGGCAGCTGCTGTTGTAAGTGAATTTGTCTGCATGTTGTGGACCAAACTACACGTTGATTAAGATCAGATCAGAAAAGTAGTTATTTATTATGACCAATGAGATACATTGGAAATGCAGTTTAGTATTAGAAACATTCTCACTTTCTTTTTCTTTTTTTTTTCTAGGGTGATCTTTCCTGTGTCTGTTCTTTTTTTGTTCTTTTTTCTCCCTGTTAAATTAATCTTATTTAATTCTGTGAGTTTCATTTACCATGGTTCATGTTGGTTTCTCCATTTTGCTCTCCGTTTTCACCCCCTCCCCCTGTTCTTTCTGCAGGAGTTCAGGAGTAAAATATAACCGGATGTGGTACGCCGCTCTGGCCCTGGTCACTCTGGTGTTGTTTACCATCTCAGTTGGAGCCATGGTCTTTATGGCTGTCTACTACACCCACCCAACAGCCTGTTTATTAAACAAAATCTTCCTGGGCATCAATTCCAGCCTCTGTTTCCTCGTCTCCCTGCTGGCTATTTCTCCATTTATACAAAAGTGTAAGAACCGAAAGCAGTTGATCTCGGTTGGCTGCGTTATGCAGATTAGAACTACTTTGCATGACAGGTGCATTGAAAATCATCTCACATTACCACAGAGAGAAATTCACAGTAAAAGGAAACAGTTAAATGACATAATTCTCTTTAATAACTTTTCTAACTTGGTATTTTTGTCTAGCTTTGTAAATGTAGTCTTTGTGTCCCTACAGTACAGCCCACATCAGGCCTGTTGCAGCCGGGTGTCATCAGTGTCTACGTCATGTACCTGACGTTCTCAGCCTTTTCAAGTAAACCGAAGGAATGTAAGAGAAATCAGAGGAAGCACCAAAAACTAGATATCCCAGTCCAGGAACACAGTTATGAGTAACAGTTTTTTATGCTGAGTCATGGATCAGGCTCAAACATACAGTGGTATGAAAAAGTTTGGGCACCCCTGATCATTTTTAAGATTTTCCTTTATGGATCATTGGTTGTTCGGAACAGCAATTTCAATTAAATATATCATATAGCAAACAAACACAGTGGTATTTAAGACGTGAAATGAAGTTTATAGGATTTACAGAAAGTGTGCAATAATTACTTAAACAAAAGTAGGCAGGTGCATAAATTTGGGCACCCCAACAGAAATATTACATCAATATTTAGTAGATCCTCCTTTTGCAGAAATAACAGCCTCTAAACGCTTCCTATAGCTTCCAATAGCTTCCAATGAGGGTCTGGATTCTGGTTGAAGGTATTTTTGACCATTCTTCTTTACAAAACATCTCCAGTTCAGTCA